CTCCCTATTATCAAAAGCTATCATTTTCAACTCAATAGAAATTGGGTAAAACATGTATTTATTTTGAATCAGCATTAAAAGTCTTAAAAAAAAAATTATAATATAAATATATATATATATATATATATATATATATATATATATACACACACACATTATATGTATGTATATATATATACATATATTTATTTATATATATATATATAAAATTTTTAACTCAATAGAAATTGGGAAAAACATGTATTTATTTTGAAACAGAGTTGAAAAAGTCATAAAAAAAATTATATATATATATATATATATATATATATATGCTTTCTTTCTTTCCTATCCACTCTTTTTCTTTCTGTTCCTTATAGGCAAACTCTCCAGTTTTTTATTCTAGACCTAACTGTTCATATCACAAAATCTATTTATGTCTGACATTTTCATTTAGCTTACCCGTATTCATTGGCACATTTTATTGATCATACAGGAAACTTACAACATGCTGTCTGGAAGCAATGGCTCGCTGTGATTAGTTTTGTGGTTATTATTTCATATTATCTAATAATTGAAACATTATTATTGCATACAGTATATCTATATGCTTAAGCGTCAGGTCTGTTCCAGACAAGTGCACTTTTTTTTGCCGGCATTGGGCGATGATCTCATGCCTATGCAGGATGGCTGCTCTTGAGAGAATGTCAATTGGACAGGTTAGAAATCTTGTTCCAATCCTGTTTTCCCCCTGAGACTAGCAGTACAAGCCATGTCTGCCTTCATCCCTCTCCTCCTGCTCTCTCCATTCACATATACAATAAGTGAGCCCTTGGCTAAGCTGTGTTTATGGCAGCTCCAGCTGTCACAGATGCTGGAGGGAGGTTAGATTGTCCCTGCATGGCCATTGATTTCATCTGTCAGTGAGCTTCTTTACTCTTCCATCTTTCTCTTCCCTATCTATTCCCACGTATTTAATAAAAATGAGACCAGATATATGGATGGATGGACAGATAAATACACCTAGCCTTACAAAGACCTTTTCACCAGACCATTCATTTCAACAAGTCATTCATGGCAAGAAACAAATATTGCAAGCAAGCATTTAAAACACATACTTTTTCTCTGCTTTTTACCTGCATTTTTTAAAATTGGGATGTAGGGTCACTTTACAATGCAATGACTATCACTACAAAAAAGTGTGCCAAAAATGCAAAAAAATATAAATAATCCTCACTATGTCATCCCCCATTTCTGATCTTCACTCTCATGCATAACTACCACCTTCTTGCAGAGTCTTTACATCCGACACTTCTGGGAGTGTCAGATTTCTGCCTCCCTCCCCCAGGCACTGTAGTTCTATTTCAAAAGCAATAATACAACCTCCTACCCTTAGGTGCAGTGCTGAAGAGTATAATCCGCCTGTCTGGCTACTGGGTATGGTGCCAAAGGTCTTGCTTGCCTCTCAGCACTGTGAGTGTCCTTGCATAACTGAAATTGATAATAAAAGTAAGATGGCACACTGACCTAGTCCATTACCAAAAAAACACCATTTGTTAAAATATAAAAAAGTAGGTCATCTACTCACAACCACATGTAATGTACAGGAATATGATAGGATGCAGACAAGACCTCCTCTAAGTCCATGGTACCTGGCCAGTGTTGTTGGAAGTCTCCGTAGTATCCTAAGGCTTACTTGTTTCGAGGGACAGACCCTCTTCTTCAGAGCCAAAGCCTGAAGAAGACCTAGACCTAGAGGCGGTCTTGTCTGCATCCTATCATATTCCTGTACATTACATGTGCTTGTGAGTAGACGATCTACTTTTTATATTTTAACAAATGGTGTTTTTTTGGACTAGGTCAGTGCGCCCTCTTACTTTTAAGATCAATATCAGTCTTGGGCTCTGAAGAAGAGGGTCCGTCCCTCGAAATAAGTAAGCCTTAGGACACTACGGAGACTTCCAACAAACACTGGCCGGCAGGGGCGGACTGGCAACTCATGGGGCCCCCGGGCAATAGGGGATCATGGGGCCCCTGTGTCCTTGCCCAAACTCAAAAAAGCCTATGAAAAAGATACCAGGGGCATCTCATGGGGCTCCTCACTAGCCCTGGGCCCTCAGGCAGTGCCCGAGTTTCCAAATGGTCAGTCCACCCCTGCTGGCTGGGTACCGTGAACTTAGAGAAGGTCTTGTCTGCATCCTATCACATTCCTGTACATTACATGTGCTTGTGAGTAGATGACGTACTTTTTTATATTTTAACAAACGGTGTTTTTTGGTCATGCACTAGGTTGGTGTGCGCTCTTTTTTTTATTATAAATTTTTATTTTCAATTACTGTAGTCCTATGTAGAGGAAGGCAGATGGAACAGCATACGCGGCAGACACACCCAGACATCTTGCACACCCAAATGTGGAGATTTGAGGATCCCAAGAGTGGGCAGCGGGATAAGCGAGTATTGATTATCTTCTATTGCAACAATTTTTTGGGCATCCTTTTTTTTTTGTAGTGACAGAATCTCTTCAAGGCTGAAGCTTGATCTGCTTTTATTTTGCCTTACTCAGTTAATCCCTCCTTCCTCATCAATACGCTAATGACATTTTGTAAATAAAACCTTTCTTTTTCCATTACTTTCCATTTTTTTAGACCCTGTGATGTAAATACAGGGTCTCTGTGCTCCTCTATGCAATGCAGGCAGATCATGACTGGTGGGTAGGGCTGTATATAGCTACCTGGAAACAGCAAACCATTCTAGGCAATGTCCACTTGTGATGCTGATCCTCCGCGATTAAACAGGACTGAAGTCTAATAAATGAAAGAGGAAGACCAGGGTCAGTCAGGTTTGAGAGGAAAGAGCTACATGATGCTGTGCCTCCTCCAGCTAGGTAATAGGGCAGGCTCTGACTGGCTGCAGCTTCTAATGCACACTGTGAGATGCTCACAGTGTGCAGTAAAATCAGAGTAAGTAACTTCCTTATGGGGACAGCCTGTTTGCAACACTGATGGTAAGGATTGAGTTGCACTTTAAAGTAGATACATCATATAAAATCACATTATTGTGATCAAATATATCAGCATTGCAAATTAATACTAAACTTTTAATAAACCGTAGCTAAACCTTGCCATAAGTAAACATCAATGCTGCATCAATTATATCATTTTGAGCTCCATCATGTCATCTCACAATCTAAGCAAAGGTGAAGACAAGGTTATTGGTTACTAGGTACATTGTGGATGTTTGACATGATTAGTGATGGAAGTGTGTCCTTTGTGTTCATTTAACCCCTTGCCTACCGGCACTTCTACCCCCTTCCTGCCCAGGCCAATTTTCAGCTCTCAGCGCTGTCGCACTTTGAATGATAATTGCGCGCAGTCATGCAACACTGTACCCATATGAAATTTGTATCATTTTTTTTCACACACATAGAGCTTTTTTTTGTGGTATTTAATTCTGGGGTTTTATTTTTTGCACTATAAACAAAAAAAGAGCAAAAAATTTAAAAAATAAAGTTTTTCTTTGTTTCTATTATAAAATTTTGCAAACAGGTACATTTTCTCCTGCACTAATGTGCATTGATGAGGCTGCACTGATAGGCAGCACTGATGGGCACTGATGAGGCGGCTCTGATAAGCAGCACTGATGAGGTGGAACTGGTTTGAATTGATGAGGAGGCACTGATGATGCTGCACTGATATGCAGAACTGATGGGCACTGATAGGCTGCAATGATGAACACTGATAGGCTGCACTGATGGGCACTAACTGGCAGCACTAACTGCAGCACTGACTGGCAGCACTGATTTGCAGTACTGACTGGCGGCACTGTTGGCCACTGATGGACACTGCTGGGCACTGATGGGTGGCACAGATGAGCACTGCTGGGCACTGATAGGTGCCACTGCTGGGAACTTTTGGGGGCTGATTATCAGTTCAGATGTTCTCAGTAACACTTGCCGGTTATCAGCAGTACTTTCCTCACGCTGTGACAGCATGAGGCAAGTTCTGCCAATAACTGGCAACTGTATTTACTTTGTGATCAGCTGTATCATTGGACACAGATGATCATGTGGTAAAAGGCTGCTGTGATTGGTCTTTTACCTTGTCATGTGTTCAGCATCAGTGATCACAGACAGCACTGGGTGCGTGCCACTGGGGGTGCGTTCTGGGAGGACGTCAGATGACGCCCTCCCAGAATTGGACAGCCGCGCTGTAGCCGTCATTTGGTTATAGCCCAATTTTCAAGTGGTAAAATAGACCCAAACAGACAGTATGATTAGGAAATCAACAATTAACACAGCCTGCTTATGCACAGATCAAATATGGCTACCCCAATGTACCTACAGTATGCTGCTGTGACCCCATTGTTGTGCGATTTCCAGTGCGACTATGCAGTGCGACTTGCTTGCCACTTTCATGCAACTTTAGAGTCTATTGAGTCTAAGTCATATTGAAGTCACATTAAAAGTTGGTGGGGTTTATTTTCTAAAGCTGGAGAGTGCAAAATCAGGCTCATTTCTGCATAGAAACCAATCAGCTTCTACCCTCAGCTTGTTCAATTAAACTTTGGCAATAAAATCTGGAAGCTGACTGGGTTCTATGCAGAAGTGAGCCTGATTTTGCACTCTCCAGCTTTAGTACATAAACCCCTGTGTGCCTTGAGTCGCATTGATTGGAACAGCTGCCATTGAAATGAATGTGTTTTCCCTTGTCACGTGACTCTATGGGGTTGACTTGCTAAAAGTTGGGAGTGCAAAAGGTGGTGCAGCTCTGCATAGAAACCAATAGGATTACAGGTTTTATTGTCCAAAGCTTATTTGGACAAGTTGAAGTTAGCCTGGCCATACATTATACAATTTTCTCGAGAATTTTGCTTTAGATTTACCAAAAACCATATAATATGAGGTCAAACCTAAACAACACTTTCACTTGTATCCAATTATGCTGGTCATAGACTATACAATTTTCTTTTCAATTTCTGCCCAATTTCCTTTAGATTTACATTCAACTATGTAGTGCAAGGACCAGGGGCGGACTGACAACTCATAGGGCCCCAGGGCAATAGGGGATCATGGGGCCCCTGTGTCCTTGCCCAGACTCAAAAAAGCCTATAAAAAGGTTCCAGGGGCATCTCATGGGGCCCCCTACTAACCTCGGGCCCTCGGGCAGTGCCCGAGTTTCCAAATGGACAGTCCGCCCCTGGCAAGGACATGCCTAATTGGATACAATTGAAAGTGTTGTTAGGTTTGACCTCATATTATATGGGTTTTGGTAAATCTAAAAATCTCAATAAAATTGTATAATGTAGTCAGGCCCTTGTACTACATAGCTGAAGGTAAATCTAAAGGAAATTGGGCAGAAATTGGACAGAAATTTGTATAATGTATGGCCAGCCTTAGTCAGGCCCTTGTACTACATAGCTGAAGGTAAATCTAAAGGAAATTGGGCAGAAATTGGACAGAAATTTGTATAATGCATGGCCAGCCTTAGTCAGGCCCTTGTACTACATAGCTGAAGGTAAATCTAAAGGAAATTGGGCAGAAATTGGACAGAAATTTGTATAATGTATGGCCAGCCTTAGTCAGGCCCTTGTACTACATAGCTGGAGGTAAATCTAAAGGAAATTGGGCAGAAATTGGACAGAAAATTGTATAGTGTATGGCCAGTCTTAGAAACTGATTGGCTACCATGCCCAGCTTCACCAGATTTTGTGTGTCCCAAGTCGCAAGCCAAGTTGCACCAGTGTGAAAACTGGTGAGAATGCAAACATGGTTTTCACAGTATATTTTAGATAGGACTATTTGCATTCAATGTTTGAAATGTAAATCTGATAAAACAAAAGACTATCTATTCCCTTTAATCAGTTTATTTGCCCGTTGTGCAATTACAATTAATGTGCCAATGACTTTTCATAGCTCAATGATATTATTTATCTACAGCTGCAAATGATTGTATCTCTCAATCAAGCCATAACTTTCATTTATCAGCTCATGAAAAAATACCTTTTCTTTTTTAGGTCACACTGAACATTGCTTTCTGGCAAGATAATTTCGCTCAGCCAGAACCCGTGTGAAATACGCTGACAAGACTTTTTGCAGCTTAGCATATAATTAACAATAAGAAATTAAAGGCCTTATAATTTAATAAGCACATTTTCACTGTTTGCCGTAGACTCAAAGTTTGATTTAACCAATCAGGTTCATAGGAAAGACAGCAGGAACACTCCTCCCCAACACTTCCAATAAAATGTAATTACGCGTTCCGTTCTTGCAGACATGCTGTTTTTAGTCATCGCAGGCACTTCAACATAGCTACAAATTAAATTAATCCGTATTAGAGAGGCGAGGGGTAGAGTTTACTGTAATGTTGGGAAGTTCGCTTCCATTTATGGTGTATGGAAGATTTTATATGTTTGTTGAGAATAAGTCATTTAAAATAATATTTCCTTTTTTATTAAATGTAATAATATACACAGTGCAAAGTATGTTATATAGGGATATACAGAGTATGTAGCTTTCAGTCCCTACCTCTGAAGCAACAGTTTAGTAAGCCTCCTTCAGTTGTACAAACACATATTGGGGCCAATTTAGATGGAAGTTAATTAACATATCATTAAGGTTTTGGAAAGGAACATAAAAGCCCAGCTCCAAGCTAGGTGACATTTCAACCAGAAGAAGACAGCTCTGGGCCATGGAAGAAGATGTGTGGGGCAGGGCTGGAGTATGGGAAGGGGCTGGAGGATCCTTTTGTTAAAAAACACTCACTTTAACACCCATCAGATACTCATAAAACCTCAAGGATAATAAACAGACTCCATGAAGACAAAACTGTCCATAGACTGATCAAAATTCGGTCAGTTCAGGAGGGACCCACCAAATTCCAATCAGTGTGCACTAGACAGAAGGCTATTGATTGATAGACTTTTTTTCAAACGGAACATGCTGGAAGACCTATCGATCAGCAGCTGCAGCCACTGATCAGTTTATTCTGACAGTGATGGATCTCAATGTGAGACTCCATGCACACTGGGCGTTTTGAAAACGCTGGTAATGTTAGCTGTGTAAAGTCACGTTAAAAATTAGAGTTTTTAAACTTTTTTTTGCATTTCTGAATTAGCGTTTAGCAGCGGTTTGCTGCGATTAGTGGCGTTTTCCTGCATTTTTCCGCATTTGCGTATTTAGCAGGTTTTTTTTAAAAAAAGTGTCCGACATGCCGGTTTGCAGCAGTTTACCATGTTTTGCCACAGTTTTTCAGTGTTAGAGTGTTTTTACAGCTAAAAAACTCCTCTAGAAACCCACTAGTTTTGGGGTTTTTTCCAGCCAAAAAACGGCTCAGCCAATAAACGTTGATTACAGTCTGTGTGCATGGATAACATGCTGGGGGGTTTACTGGCTGTAGAAAAAAACGTCAAAAGCCAAAAACTGCCGCTGTAAGAACATCAAGTGTGCATGAAGACTCAGAATACAATGTCACAGCAAGGGGGATTCCTTCATCCACATCCTTCTGATGATGAAAAAAATGAACTGTCCATGGCCAGCTTTGGTCTTCCAGACACCATGCTTGCCAAGAGAAAAACTCTACTCTAAGAACTCGAAGGGATTTTTTAAAATGTTGTTTTGGATACAGCAGTGAAGGGTTAGAATCTCTCTCAGTTTTTTATTGCCATCTGTGTGCCTATTTGGACAGAAGGTGATAAGAAATATCTTCAGTAGTACACACACAAACCACATTTCTCATAGCATGAGGAAAGGTAATGCTGGCCATACACTGGCCTTACCTGTAGGCTGAACTAAAATAAAAATTCAGATTCCTCCATCCAAGCTATACAGTGCAGATGGACTATCCCTCCTTCCAGAGTCATCAGAAAACCCAGAGTCTCCTTTTTTTCTGTTTCTTTTTCCTTCTGCTGTCTTCCCACCTTACTTAGGTTCGTTATTGGGTACCTAGAAGGTCAATTTGCTGATAATGTATTCTTTTAGTCATATACTGTATATCAAGCCTAGTTGCCTTTGATTTGTATTGGTAATGTCATTCATTTTTTTCCTTTGCTTTGATAAAATTTGTTAGGATAATTTTATCTTGCAGAGGGGTGACCTTGCTCTCTATTGTCCCATTGGCAGACCTGTAACATGGTTTATTATTTGCTTTGTCTATGACCTATTTTTTCTCTAGGGATTTGCACTTTACTGAAAATGTTTTAACAATAAAAAATTTAACAATTGACACAAAAAAAAGAAAACAAGAACAGCTGTATCTAAATGGATGCAGTTGCTGTTTGGTCAACAATTTTCTGCCCATCTCCTTCAATTTTTCAAATGATGCTGAGCAGGAGGGGATGGTACAGGTACCCACTAAATAAATTTCATCTGGAACTGAACAAAACAAAATGAAATATGAACAATATATGGTCAACTTAAAAAGGAGCACCAGTCTCCCCCGAAAAAAACTCAGCAAACAAATACTGTAGCTTATGCCTTTTAATATAAGGACACTTATCTGTCCAGGGATCCAGCACTGTCCTCCCCCAAGCTAATTCTTTAATGGGCTTTGGGTCCAAGTGCTGGCAGATTAACGGCATCTTCACAGCCAGCTTCCCAGTGCACTTTGTGAATGGTTCCGTAGTCTTCTAGGACCTGCATTGTGTCCCAGAAGACACTGAGGTTGATTTACTATAGCTGGAGAATGCAAAATCTGGTGCAGCTCTGCATAGAAACCAATAAGCGTCCAGGTTTTATTGTCAAATCTTATTTGAACAAACTGAAGTTAGAAGCCGATTGGCTACCTTCACAGTTGCACCAGATTTTGAACTCTCCAGTTTTAGTAAATCAACTGTGTGTGAAGGGGGGGAGAACTCCTGCTTGGATTGCCTAGGCGATCCAGGCGGAAATGGGATTGGGTACCTGTGAAAACCAGGTACCCAATCCACCCAAAAAATGTGCCAATTGATAAAACAAGCAGAACGTCCCTGTTTGGGTGAAGTTCTGATTTAAGAGCTTCTGACAATTTTTTTCATGCTTGTGCCTCTTATGCCTTTCTGGTGACAACCACACCCTGCGTTTTTTTTTTTATGAGTTTTCATAGGGACAGAAAGCGAGGGAGAATCTCCTCTATGAGGTCATATGCAGAAAGTTACTGGTCAGTCTGGTTAAAATTGGCTGGATGGGTGAAGATCAAGCTATGTTTAGGGACGACTTTAAGGTTGAAGGTGCCAATTGGACCTAAAACCTATGGGTCATAAGCAGACAGCATTGGCCAAGTTTTATCTGGGGGAAAAAACAATTAAACTGTTTGGAAAAGCCAACACTACAGATATCTGCAACACACCTCCTCTGCTGTCTACATGGGCTAACCATGAACAGCCACACAGCTCAATTGTGTTAGAGGAATCACTAAGATTGAGAAGTGATTGAGATGCCTGGGGGTAGGTGGACTGTGCTTTTACATGTCAATCCCCCTCCCTGATGTCTTTGGCTGCCATAAAGTGAAAGAAAGAAACACCATTTATACCCATTTGAATTTCTCTTAGTTATTTCTGGACAAGACTTTTGAATTTTTTTTTTCTTTACACATTTCTTAGAGAATATCTGTGATATCTTGATGACTTTCTGACACCTAATCTCTCTTACAGGTAGAAGATACAGATCTGACTGGTAGGGACGACAGTAATTGGGATCACCTCAGTCATCTGGAGACACACAGTAAATAGTTGTCTGAGCTCGGAATGATCCTAGGACACCTCTCGAGTAACACATACCTGATCATTTGCACTAATTTGTGTGTAGGTAAGACGACCATTTCTTCATGATGACTGCCTTTGAATTGGGAGTCTAAGGGAAGGAAAGCATTCCAGCCATTAGAAGATCTACTGTGAAAACAAATCACCAAAAAAAGACATCTTATTCTTCCTTCCAATTCTGGAAATCCACTTGGCTTGCCAGTAACAAGAACTTTTAAACGGGATTATTTTATTAATATCTGAGTCTTTTTCTGGATTTCGCTACGGATTTATATACTACTCATCAGGGATTTTTTCATTAGGTGCACAATGGCCGTGCATTCTTCAAAAGTGAACTCCAAAAAGAAGCTACCGCTGCCTCCAGTTAATGGAGAAGATCAAAACTTTGTCTTTCTGTTTGAAAACATTGTTGACGTGGGTAAGTCACCCAGTTTGTTTCCTGATCTTCAAATGTTAAAACTGTCAT